AAAGTCAAAGCATCATGATAAGGAACAATGATTCATAAAAAGACAAAAAAAAAAGAAATACAAAAAGATTTATGTAGTGTTGGTTCAACCAAGTCTGCATCAATAAGAGAGGAGAGAGAATCCAATCCAATATAAATCACAAAAGTCACAATCATGATGTACAAATTAAAACAATCCTTATATCCCTTACAAGGTTTAAGAACACCAATGCATAAAAAGAAGAAACCCCAATAATTAATCGCATAACCAAGATTACCTCACAAGAAATCTTCTTCTCCATGGATGGGTGCATTCTCCAAAATCCTCCGAGAAACCTTGTTGTCAAGAAGGAATTTGAGGAACAAGAGAGGTCTCAAAGTGATTTTTAAAATACGCAAAACCTTAAGCCAAGTGATTATGCCATCAAAACATTCAATGCATGGCTCGAAAAGCCTTGGAAGAGACTCCTACTTGTATAGTAACATGTCTCCTGTGTATGCGAATAGAGAAGAAAATAGAGGCACACAGACCAAGGAGGTGGCATAGATCTTGAGCATCCGATTTGATTTGATCTTACAAGAAAATATTTTAAGAATTTTCAAGCAATTTGAGTCACATTTTACAATTCTCTAACTTTGACTCAATATTATGGCAAAATTTGAATCTCCTATGTGCCCTCTCTAAATCACTTTAAATCCTGAAAAGTTTAGCAAGCACCTGATAAGATCTAGATGACGCCTGAATTGAAGATGTACGAAACATCTGTCAGGAACATTTGTTGCATACAAAAATGAATGCATAAATACTAAAAGTGCATTTGTCACACTAAATTTTGCAATAGAACCAAATATCAGGACAAATTGTGCAACAAAATATGATCAATTTTATCACCAAAATCTTCCTCGGTGTTGAATATATATTCCAAAAGTTTTTTTTCAATAGAAAGCCAACTTTTTTTGGTTCCCCAAGATGTGTTGCTTCAACACAAACCACAGCCACTACTTAATTACATCTGTCAAGAATTCTGCCAAAATTTAATTGGATCAAAGACAGAATAATGCTTCTCTAAAATATGATACCATCAAACATCTTAATCTTAAATTTCATGGCCATTAATCATAAAATAGGCTGTAAGACTAGATATTTGCAACAACACTGGCAAAAGAAATAATGTGAAAACATCAATAGGGTTGAGATAATGCGCCATAAAGTGAACATAAAAGACAAGGTGAAAACAAACCACTTAAGACACTAGGACTTGTAATATTTGGCTTCAACCAATCCTTCATCTACTAAAGCCGACAGAGTATTTGATCCACTAAAAACATAGAAGCCATAATTATGTTGTATAAATTGAAAGAGCACTCACAATTACTCCCAAAACTCAAAAATACTATCGTGCAAACAAAGAAGCAGCTCCACAAAAATTTTATAACTACGAATATTTCACAAAAAGCCTTTTTCCTCATGCATTGATGAAGTCTCCAAAATCATCCAAGAACCCTAGCCATCGAATAGATAATGTGAGGAACCAAAGAGTACTCCAATTGCTTGCCCACGTATATAAAAATCTAAGTTAAGAGGGTATGCTTTGGAAGTAGAATTGCAAATGAACCAATATACTCATGACTCGGCTTGAACAATTTTATAACTCAATCCTGATCCTTTAATATAACTCAATCCTGATCCTTTAATCTAACCAATATACTCATCACTGCTTGAAGGTGTGGCGGAAGTTGGATGTATTAGGGGAATTACAGGCGGACTGAGGTCGGAGTGATCGCTGAGGTGAATAATCCAAGTGCGACCGATCTAAACCAAAGGAGAGTGGGAGACCTACAAAAAGGTTGAGCGGCAGAGAAAAATAGGCGTGTAAGAGAGTGTGGTTGTATGGAATTGAAGAGGTAGAGACGGAGAGAAATAGTGAAACTGAGAGCAGATTTCAGGAGACAACAATTCCCGACAGAGAAGACCAACTGTGAAGATAGAAGGGTGCTCTCAAACCCTGCTAGATTGAATACATTCTCGCCATGAAAGACGAAGGGTGCTAGATCTATTTCGTTAGTGATCGATGCTGTGAAGCTGCCGCTGGCGGAGAAGAAATCGTAATCCCCGACCGCAAACGCCAGGAGCAAGTAGAGAATTGGGTCTCAAATGGGCTAGGGTTTCGTTTTAACCCATTTATCTTTAACAGGTTTAATCTTAAGCTATACATATTAATTAAAAGCAAAAATCCTGTTGTATACTAAGGAATTTGGAGCGGGTGGAAGTCGGTTAAGATACCAAATCAAAAAAAAAAATCATAGCCCAATAAAATAATCATTTACGTTGGTTTATTATGAAAAATTTAGAGATATAAGCTAGCTCGAATTTGGCTCATTAATAAGTTTGTAAGTAAAATTTATCAAGACACGAGTGAAAGCTCAATTTACAACATCCTCTCATCTTTGTCATCAAGAGTTTGATGAGTAGATGAGCTTGAGCGCATGAGTCAAACTAGAGTTACAAGTTTATGGGGGTGTTGAGCTCAAACTTTATATATTAGCTTTACTCAAGTTTGAGCCTATGCAAGATAGATGAGTCAGCTTCAAGTTATTTATGACTTGACCCCGACTTGATTTATTTACACTCCTACGTGAGATTATTAGGATTTGTTTCCTGTGATTATAATGGAGAATATTTATAGGTATTTCGACAAAAGAAGGAAACTAATGCCCATAGTCTTATGCAAAGACATTCTAGTCATTTCCATAAAAGATTTGGATACTCCATTAGACAATTCAAATAGATTTACCTTGATTATTTTATGGTTGCAAAATCTTAGAGCCTTAATGTACTTAAAATTGAGTGATATTAGACTTGTTAAGTTCAACTCATATAGACTCATTTTGATCGTAAGTATGAAAAACTTTAGAGGATGTTTGAACACTCCAAAATTGCCTAGAGAATATTTAAATCAGGCTTTTGAGTGCTTGGTTTAGGCCAATTTGGATCAATGTGTTCTTTGTATTTCTTGATCACATGCTACCTAAAAATTGAGTTTGAATGATCTCAAAATCAATACCTAACACCTTTGGCCCAAAAGATAGAAATTATACATCAAGCGTAGGCATCAAAGAATGTTGAACAATTATTATAAATATTGGGTGACAATGAATGGCAAACATATGATGTCAGTGAAGAGCAATGATATGTTTTGAGAAGAATGACGATAAACACAGGGAATAAGGCATTGGTGTGCCATGAGAGTTGAACTTTGACTAATGTTGGGTAATGACTATGTATGGTGGCATCAATTTTTAGACTTCTAATAAGCTTATGGGCTTTGATGTTGGCATTATATATATGTAGAAGTTGTCCTATCTCAAATATTATCTACAATTTTTAATCGCTCTTATTTCAAAGTTTGAGAAAATGAGAAGAATTTAGGCATAATTATAGAGAAATTATCATGTAAAATTCATCATTCTTATTAATATTATATTCACTAGATTGTGGCATTCATGATCGAGTAGCAATTGGATGATTCCTCTCCCGAGCTAGCTCGATCAACTAGCCCATATCACAATTTGCCAAACAACCAATTGATTGTTGCCAACAGTTGTTCAATAGTAGTGCAACGATAGCCAGTATCTATGAAATCTCCATTCAATGAACAAAAGACACCACCTTGAGCTTTAGACACAACGAGTACAACAAAGTCAACAAATTAAAATTTTAACAGTCGGATTATCCATTACAAGATTTGTGACATAGGCCATATCATATCATTATTAAAAAATGACAATAATTGGGCATAATAGTGGATTTGTTTGGGAGAGCCAAATCACTAACAATTTTTTGAGTTGATAAATACTTCTTTATGTTCTAGAAATAGCTCTATGTTGAAACGAAGTTGTTTAGATTTTTAGAAAAAAAATATCTCTAATAGTGTCACGATGAACCCGGTCTATAATACAGTCTAGTTTGACAACCATTATTAAATTGCTTTAATGAGTAGCAAATAATAAAGCTTTAATTAGGAGCAAAAGTTAAATTAACTTCATGATAAAACGCAATTGAGATCATAAAAACTTATTATGAATGGAGATATATAATACTTAGAAGATTCAAAGAGAATTGTTGTGTTCTAAGCATCGAGAAAAAAATAATAAAACTCATAAATAAAGAAACTTATCAAAGAAAGTCATGGGCATACCAATAAGCTCTAAAACATCATCAAGATGAACAAGAAAGAGAAGAGAAATAAAGGTGGACGTTAAAAGGGGTGATTATTCTGTGCGGACGTCGGACGCGGCTCTACGTCCGGAGGCGAATCAAACGCAGCCATATCAGCTGTCCGTGCCGCGATACCAAGTAAAGGAGTGACGTGGTGCTTTCTGGTAGTTTCCGGATGACGTTCGACATCCACACAGAATATTTTTCATTTTATAACGACCACCATAATTTAATGATATATAGGAAGATAGTAAACCATAATATCATAAAACTACAGTTGCTTTTAAAATTAAAAAAAAACAAAAATAAATAAAAAAATCAGTTGCTTTTAAAATGGACTAAATATTTTCCACAACTAAAAAGAAATTCTCACCACAAAATAATAAATTTATCCAAATTAATTTGAACAAGCTTAGGATTACCCACAATTAAGCCCAACCCTCTTTCTTTCTCTCTCATATTTTCCCAGTTTGGTACACCGACAAACCACCTCTTCGGTAATTAAACCGCCACCCGTAATTAATCCCAATGTCTTTAGTGTAATACAAGTTCCCAAATCCAGATATAAACGTTAGCATTTAGATAAACAGTTTACCACCCCCCACCCAATTCTTATCTTGACCTTCAATCCTCTCTCCACATGAACGGCCAGGATCACTCCCACGCAACACGTGCTTCTTTTAATCCACCACTTATTAGGAATTTAGGTCACCACCTTATAATATAGAAATAATTATACACTAATAACTAATACCTATAAATTCAGTCACGAATTTGAATCAGAACTACTCGGGTTTCTTGCCGGCTAGCAATTCCACCTTTTCGTACTCCGGCGGCGTTGGCCACCGCCGCTTCGTTTTCCGAACCCATCACGCCGTTAGACGCTTTTGCTGTATAAAACCGACAATGTCTCGCTTCGTCGACGCGCTCCAATTCTTCGATCGGAGATCCTCTCCCATGGAGGAAGCCGAAGGTTTCGGCCGTGATGGTATGCTACTTCACCAAACTGGCGGTGGAGGCCGCCAGTCGCAGACACTTGGCCACCTTTTGAAGCGGGTCGGAGAAGCCGCCAGCGCCGGCGACCACCACGTGCTCGAGCTCGATGATATCATCGGCCCAAACAACCCCGACCCGGCCCGTACCATCCCCTTCGTGTTAGCTTTCTCCGACCTCACTTACAGCGTGAAAAGCCCGAAGAAGCTTTCTTTAGGGCCTAGCAGAACGGACCCGGTCTCCGTTGACGTCGCGTCGAGTAACAGAAAAATCTTGCTTGACTCGATTTCCGGCGAAGCGAAGGACGGCGAGATCCTTGCTGTTCTCGGCGCGAGCGGGTCCGGTAAATCAACACTCATCGACGCACTGGCGAACCGAATCGCAAAAGAAAGCTTAAAAGGCTCGATCACTCTCAACGGCGAGCCGCTGGAATCCAAACTGTTGAAAACGATTTCTGCGTATGTTATGCAAGACGACCTTCTTTATCCAATGCTCACCGTCGAAGAAACTCTCATGTTCTCCGCCGAGTTCCGCCTGCCTCGCACCCTTTCCAAGTCCAAGAAGCAGAGCCGCGTGCAAGCTCTTATCGACCAGCTCGGCCTCCGCCGTGCCGCCAAGACCATTATAGGCGATGAAGGCCACCGTGGCGTGTCAGGCGGGGAGCGCCGCCGTGTCAGTATTGGCATCGATATCATCCATGACCCCATTGTTCTGTTCCTCGATGAGCCGACTTCGGGTCTCGACTCAACCAGTGCGTTCATGGTCGTGAAGGTATTGCAGCGCATCGCGCAGAGCGGAAGCATAGTTGTAATGTCGATTCACCAACCTTCTTACAGAATCATTGGCCTTCTCGACCGGATGCTCTTCCTCTCTCGAGGGCAAACCGTCTACTTTGGTAGCCCTGCAAATCTCCCGCTTTACTTGGCGGAATTCGGCCGGCCGATACCAGAGAAAGAGAACCGAACTGAGTTCGCCCTCGACCTCATTCGCGAACTGGAAACCTCTTCCGACGGAACAGGAACAAAGCCGCTCGTCGAATTCTACCGCTCGTGGCAAAGCTTGAAACTTTCTCCTGTTTCCGCCGCCGCAAAACAGAACAATAACTCCCAGCTGTCCCTCAAAGACGCCATCAGTGCCAGCATTTCACGCGGCAAGCTCGGCTCTGCTTCAGTTTCCCGCTTCGCCAACCCGTTCTGGATAGAAATGTTAGTCCTCACTAAGCGCGCGGCTACCAATTCTCGTCGAACACCGGAGCTCTTCCTCATGCGACTCGGTGCTGTCCTGGTCACCGGATTCATCCTCGCAACCATCTTCTGGCGGCTTGATAATTCGCCAAAAGGCGTTCAAGAGCGTCTCGGCTTCTTCGCAATCGCTATGTCTACCATGTTCTACACTTGCGCTGATGCACTCCCTGTCTTTCTCCAAGAACGCTATATCTTCATGCGAGAGACTGCCTATAACGCCTACCGCCGCTCATCTTACGTTCTCTCAAACGCCATTGTTGGCTTTCCATCACTAATCGTCCTTTCTCTCGCCTTCGCTGCGACAACATTCTTCGCCGTCGGTCTGGCCGGCGGCGCACAGGGGTTCGTCTTCTTCTGCCTCATCATCCTCGCTTCCTTCTGGGCAGGAAGCGGCTTCGTCACCTTTCTTTCCGGCGTTGTTTCCAACGTCATGCTTGGCTACACTGTCGTCGTTGCCATTTTAGCTTACTTCTTACTCTTCAGCGGCTTCTTCATCACACGAGACCGCATCCCTGACTACTGGATTTGGTTCCATTATCTCTCATTGGTGAAATATCCCTACGAAGCTGTTCTTCAGAATGAGTTTGATGATCCGACGAAATGCTTTGTGAGGGGAATTCAGATGTTCGACAACACGCCGCTCGGAGTGTTGCCGGTGGCGCTAAAGCTGAATATTTTACAGGCGATGAGTGGATCGCTTGGAGTAAGCATTACAAGCCAGACTTGCATTACAACTGGAACTTATATTTTGAAGCAACAAGCGGTGACTGATCTTAGCAAATGGAGCTGTTTGGTGATCACTGTTGTTTGGGGATTCTTCTTCAGAGCCCTCTTCTACTTTAGTTTGCTGCTTGGGAGCAAAAACAAACGTCAGTAGAGCGATTCGGATGAAGATGAAGATACTGCTACTGATGCTTTGTTCTTCAAGTTTCTGCAATTTTTTTTTTTGTTAAAATAAAATTTGGTTTTTAAGAGAATTTTAATTTTCATGTAAAGAAATGTTTTAACTTTTCTTCTATCTATTTGTTTCTGTTCTTCATGAAGATACTGCCAATTATGTTATGGTAAATTCCGCATAAGAAATGTACTTTCAGACAAATAAGATTAATCTTTTGGGATTAGAATTCTATTTAGATAATCTGATTAAGAAATTATTATGTGCGGACACCTTAATCTCTAAAATCATGTTTAGATTTTTTTTGAGTCAACATAAGCTTTCTATCATTACTTTTAATTTTTTTTTCTAAAATTTTAAAAAGCAATGAAAGAGCTGTCTACTAAACAGATATTTGTCTTTATTAATTGCTTTTCTCATCACAAAAGCAATCATAAAGCTCTTCCAAACAAAACATTAATTGCCATGCTCATTATCTTCTGGTTAAACTATTTTTCTTAATTAAATCATAAGGATTAGACATCTGGAGAAGCTTATAAACCGGCTCTTCTCGCCTAATTAGCTTGTTAATCACACCTGTTAATCTATCATTAACAAGCACAGTTGACAGTTTCCCATTTTTCTTGGTTTCATCCTCAGCTAAGTCATCTCTGTGATGAGCAAAGGTTGTTTATTGAAATGAAATGAATGAATTTCTCAAGTTTAAGGCAAAGCTGGTAGTTAAACAACCTGTTGCCTATACGCTTAGAGTATTAAGTTGAATTCGATTTATTCAAACATCATAGGCAAGAATGACAAAACTCTATTTTCAGATATGAAATTAGGTGAGCTAATTAAATTTCTTATGAGCTAAGCTTCAATTGAGATATTTCTATTTTGTTGGTTGATAAATGTTTTGGTCAATATAACGATCATAATTAGTCTATGTAACACGTACACGAACACAACGTCACGAACACAATATACAGAATATTATATTTTCTAAATTATTAATATGTTATATATAATGAAAATATCTTATACTAATATTTTTCATTAAAGTATCACATATGGTAAACTATGATATCATTTGCTTCACATAAAAAGCTTATCAATAACTAAAAAATATTATTAATTATAGTAAAATTTAAATTTTGTATCTCATATAATAATAATTATCATTTGTCAATAACATACTAATATTTGCATTCATTTTGCTAGTAATAATAATATCTTTTTAAGAAGTCAAAACCCTAAGAAAATAATAGTAATGCCTTCTTTAAAATTATCAAACAACATGTGGCTAACTTGGGTTATTGATGAGCTTACACATCCACCACCATCATCATAATATTATACATTTAATTTTAGTGGATTGATTTTAAAAGTTGGCTTTTATGCATATATTAGCAAATTCAGACTTTATAATGATAAATATTGCATTGAAATGCTTCTAATCAAAGCCCCACAACTTTAGATCTTATTAGGTATTGATATGCACAAATACCAAACTTTGATGTGCACAAATAACGTTTTTTCATCTCGTGAAGAGTGATAATTTTTTTATTAGATAATATATACTTTTTATTCTTTCTTAACAAGATGATTAATATGATTGTGATAATAGTTTAGAAGCTAAAAAAAAACTAACGAGAGTAATCTTTCATAAAGTGTTTCATTAATCACAATACATTTAAATGTTATAGATTCGTGCTCAACAAAAGCACTCTTAAATCTAAAGAAGATAGCAAACTCTTTAATGTTTAGAAAAAAATCTTTTCAAAATTTTATTCCTCTAATTTGACAAGTCACATAATATGGAGCTTCACTTAGCAAATATGTTTACATATAATGCTTTTTTGAGTGGGTAGGCTAGCTGTGTTTAGGACTCTAGGGATTGGAACCCTCAACAGGCTTATTACTCTAGAGAATTAAGTAACATATGGCAGGAGTTAATAAAAAGTTGGTATCAGGTAGTGACCATAAGGAGTGTAAGAAGTATTACTAGTGCAAACTTCTTGATTAGACTCCAGTGCAAGGATATTACAAGGCAGGAATATGTTGGTTGAATGTTGTCATGTGAGTTCACACTGTGAAGATAATGTTGGATTTAGGGATATTGCCATGTGGAAAGGCATTGTTTGAAAGATGGCATTGGACAATGAATGTTAGAGTGAGAATCATTAGGTGAAAAGATGCCATGAAAAAATTCTCAATGAAGGTATAAGGAGTTCGTGCTAAGAAGCCGATCCTGTGTGCGAAAGCTAGAAAAGTTATAAGGACATACAATGTTATAACAGAGATAAGTGAGTAAGGGCAAGGAGTTCTCATTGCTTGGAAATGTTGTGAGATAAAAGTTGTGCAGATTGCAGGTGTGTGCTATATGGGGTTGTTGTTGATAAGCAAGCCATTGTTTCCAAATAAGTTAGCATAACATGTTTTATTCTTGATAGCTTAATTAAAACTAGTCAGATCAAAGGGAATAATTATAACCGCCCAAACTCTTAATAATCGAGATATTGTCTGCATTGGTTGTAACACGCTAAACTCTTAACTATCGAGATATTGCCCCCTTTGGCCTAAGAGCCTTACGATTTTGTCTTGTTGGTGTAACTTCTAAGTAGGTCACCCATCCCAAAATTTTTCTAAGATGAGCACGCTTAACTGCGAAGTTTCTTAATGAAATTCTAGCCATTTATATTTAATAGTTTAACTTTCTTTTACTTAAAAGCGAATAATATCTCGATAGTTAAAGTTTGTGCTGTTATAAATTGTGAAGCCCTGGCCTTAAGTAAAAGAAGCTAAGCTCTTAAACATCGAGCCACTTTTTGATGTAATAGTTAGAATTTTTGTAAGAAACTCCGCAGTTAAGCATGCTCATTCTGGAGTAATTCTGTAATAGGTGACATACTGGGAAGTTACACTAGCAGGGCAAAATCGTAAGGCTCTTAGGGCCAAAGCAAATAATATCTCGATAGTTTAGAGTTTGAGATATTACAAATTATATTAGTATTCATTCTTAATATTTATTTTAGCAATATGCTTAATAAAATACATACCGAGTAAAAATGTATAGTTTCAAAATATAACAAGATTATTAAGGATTATATAAAATATTATTTCAATAATTTAATTGTACTACAATAGTATTTTCAAAGTTCATATTATTTTTTATTTAATTAAGACTACATAAATTCTAAAATACCTAATATAGAATTTTTAAAAAGTATTCAAAACATTCATAATCTCAATATTAATAACATATAAAAAGTTACACTATGAAAGTTATAACAGTGCAAAGTTATCCATGTTTTTTTACTAATGAAAATAAAAATTTAATAGAAAAAAATATAAAAAATATAGAATTTTTTAAATGCTGAGATATGCATATTATGACCTACCTTAATATGGATAACTTTTCCAAGTAGCTCGACGACTAAAACTGACCAGCAACAACTCAAAATAGAGTTTCTCTATCTAAAAACTCTCCAAAACCCTCTCTCTCTCTACGTCAGTGGTTGCGATCAAACAGAATGAACAAAATAATAGATTTTAAAATAAATAAAAACGAAGATAAAGGCCTAGCGCTGCGGCGCTGCCATCTAGCGCTGCGATGCTAGTTTATTTTTCTAAAACCTAGAGAATAGAGCGATGTAATGTCAATATTTGGGCGCCTAGTACTGTAGCAGCGCTGAGGTGCTCGGACACCCAGCGGTGAGGGGCTTAAATAGTAACATTTTTAAATTTTTCCAAAATTTGCTAGCTGTTGACCCTTATGACTCATTTTGGAACACACAATTATTTTCAACCATTAAAAGACTTCCAAATACATGCAAATATATGTAAGATGTAAAACATAAATTCAAATATTTACATTTAGAAGTTTCTTTTTTACATTTTTGAGCTGTTACAAAAGCGTAGCAACTCCTGAGTGGTGATGCAATGGAGTGGTGCTTACAATGATATTGCACAAAAAAGTGAAACATGGAAGGCTGATGAGTAATCTGTAATTGATTATGGATATAATAACATATAAAACAAATAAATACAATCATAATCACAATTATGAAATAATAAATATACATTTCATTAAATCAAATATTCTCATAATATAAATTTTTTATAATACTATTATTCTAATAAGCCTCATATGTGTGTTATTCTCTTTACAACTTTAGGATTTTAATATTTATGCCTTGTCTCCCATTATATTAAGTTAAAAGATGATTTTGCTAATCAACCATCATAAAAGAGCAATAAAGGGTTGATAATTTACTTATGATGTAGGAGCACACCCAATAGTATGATACTTCATCATCTTCTCAACAAATAAAAAAGAAAAAGTATTTAGACAAAAAAAAAAAAAAGTTTTCTTTTTTACATAAGCGCACCTTGTTAGGACATAGGTCTTTTTTTTTTGTGGGAACAGGGGTATCGGCCCGCTGCCACATCAGCTTATGACGCGCTTGGCGATGTCCACTAATCCCTCGGCTAGTCTACCAGCAACCAACAACACAGGTGCATGACCCACAGTTCTTTTAACAAATTAATAAAAATTCTTGTAAATGACTATGAAAAATAGGCTTACGTAAGGATGATTATAAAAAGTTGCTCTATTTTTATGCTTGTCATTACATAATGTTTGGGATATGATTTTTTTTTAATTACCTCCTCATTGACATGTGCCCTTTTTAATATTTGAATAAGAATTAGGTGTTATTTGATTGTAAATGTTAGATATATGAAGTAATAAAGGCTACATAAATCTTAATTTCTTCTACTAATTCACATAAATTAAAATTGATGTTATTTCAAAATTTTGATTTATATCATATTCATTTAGTTTAAACAAATTTATAACAGCTACACAGTTGCATAAGAAGCCTTGTAATATCCTATTAGACTTAGGCTTTGTTTGGGACAGCTTCCTCAATGCTTCATAAAGCAGCTTTCTAGTACAATTTTTTTTTTATTTTTGTACTAAAAAGCTACTTTAAGAAGCGGTAAGAAAGCCGTCCCAAACGAAGCCTCAATTTTGCCATTGACTCGCAACCTTGCTAAATGCGTTGTCCCCATCAATCATATCATCCCGACCATCTATAATGTGGCATTCTAAGACACCACCATTATTCATCTCTTTGGCTCATTATGACTTTAATCTTTTGGATCATTTGAGGCAATTAAGGCAAATTCATACACACATCACATACGTAATGTAGCACCTTATGATCTAAATTGTATGATTTTTTTATATTTTCTTTATCTTTGTCTCTCTCTCTCTCTTTTTTTTCTTTCATACAACCAATAATCATTTATTTACAATCAAATCCATTTGACATTTAGAGCTGATTAATTATATTAAAATATAAATAGTATAATGAAAAAAAAAAAATTAGGGGGGGCAATTGCCCCCCCTAGTCATAATGGGGTTCCGCCCCTGTATATAAGAATATATATAAATTAGAGAACTTAAATTAAACTAAAATGATCATCACTATCTTGCCTCATGCTATAGGCTCATTATCTTTATATATAATTATATAAAACCAAGTAATGAGTATAAAAATCCATCAATTAACCAAAACTTATAACTTCTTTCAATGTAAGGCAAAACATTCAATATATTTGCTCTAGTTCTAACTAATATCAATCATCAACTAACATGCATAATAAAAAAATTTCTAAAATTAAGAATAAAATTAATATGATCAGTAAGGTCAAAAGAGATATATCAAATTATAAGAAAAATTGGTAAATAATTCTATCAAACAATGAACCATGTTAGTATGTTATGCTATATTGTATCAATATTAATGTCACCATGATTTCAATTATATCAATCATTTAGTTTAAAGTACTATGATACTATCATGTAAATATAATCATGAATATAATTATGAAAAGCATGACATATCATCCAATTTTAAAGTGATATTTTCATCGTTACACATGCTATCTATCATTTCTATCAATCTGTCAATCTCATTTTATTTTTATTGATAATTTATTTTCACATGTGACTTTCAATAATTATTTAAAAGTCATTACCCTCTACATGTTAGCGTAATTCGATCAATTGGTTAGAAGCTACAACTTTGGTTACACCACCACCCTTTTATTTAAAAGAAAGCTTGTCGGCCCACCCTCATATGCAGGATATTATGTTTTAAGAGCCAACTCATTTTAATTATAGTGTTAACAACTAGTCATACTTATATGAAATTATTATATTTTTTCTGTGCAATGTAAGTCAATATCATATATGAAATGCAGTAGTTCATAAAATGCTAAAAAATCTATAAATTTTTCTATTATGCATTTACTTCAAAAAATTATATGTTCCAATTTATCTGGTGAAAATTTAATATGTTGGTTAAAATTCTCATATTAACGACAATTATTACATAACAAAATTAAGTTATGCGGTGAAAGTTTGATAAAAATTAAGATATCATAATTGTTATAAATTTTGACTAAATATAAATTTATAAAACATAAAATTATTAAGATTATTAAAATCAGAGGTACGGTATGATTGATTACAATGAGACACGACTTTTTCAAAATATGATAGACTATCAAAATTGGTTTAAACCTCCAAATTCTAACTTTTCCTCTCCTCTTCCTATCTTTTCTCTTAAAATCTATCTTTTCTCTTAAAATTTCATTTCCTACTCTCTACTAAATGAATTAGGCCAATTAAAATAAATTCACACACACATCACATAGGTAAGATTCGAACTCAAGACCCCTTGGTTGGGAGCTTTGGCTATTAACCAAGAGATCTTATATTTGAATTTTATATATATGATGTCTGTAAATTAGTCTTAATTGACCTGAATTTCTAAAAAAATCTCAAATTTGACCTAATTTCTAGATTTAATGAATTCTATCAAAAGCAGGATTTAGGGCTTTCATCGTCTTCTTGCTTCCAATTGCATCGAAATAGTTACAGAATTCAACTCGTATAAATGAAGTTAACAGCTAAATTTATATAACTCAAAATTGATCTATGAGTTTACTTATCTAAGTGCTTTTCAAACAAACATCTTTTCGCTATGCTCCGTTACGCAATCCGGCAAGGACGCAAACCCTAATAAGATGCAGAATATCAATGGCGACGGGGGCGGCAGCCGCAGCAATAAGCCATGGACGCCGACGTTTTGCACGATTATTGATGCGGAAACAACCAGCTTCTCCTACCTCGCCTGTTCTAACTGTGAACGCGTTCTCCCCAATGATTCCCTCCCTAATCCCCCAACTTGCGCCGTCTGCAGCAACAAATACACCTTCCCCACCGCTTCCAAACGCCTCTACCGTCTCCTCCTCTCTATTGCTATTTCCGACAAAGTGATTCCTGTGATGTGCTTCGATAGGGCAGCGCGAGTCCTTGTTGGATGCTCGGCCGATGAACTATTCAACTTCTGCAAGTCTCATCCTTTTGCCGAGGAGAAGATGGGGGAGATATTGGAGGGAGAGATGTGTCAGATGACTTTGTGTGAGCCGAAGAACGGCAATGCGCAGCACTTACGTGTTGTCTCCGTCGTCCCACTACGCGCTGGATTCCGTCCTGCTATTCACACTCTTCGTCTTCTCTATGGCGTCGATAATTCCCATCGAAGTTCAAATTAGAGGATTCCACGCACCTGCCTGTCTTGTTTGTACTCTTTTCCCTTACTGCTTTTACGACATTAGGTTATTAGGCGAAGCAATCTCGTATGCTTTCCATACAAGCAGTGAAGAAGATGTTTGCATTTGCTATGGTCAAAATGCTGGGCTTTTGTTTAGATGAATGACCATTTCCTTCGGGGCATCTCTAACCAAAACTCCATTTTCCACTCTAAAATACTCTAAAACTTCAAAATGCGATAGTTCATCTTCAATGGAACTCCATTTTTCTTTTTTTGCACTTCTTTGCCAAGGTAACCATCTCTCTCCTGTTTCGGGCGTTTCCTGTGAAGCTAAGCAGGGTGCGAAGATAATTTTTTTTTGGCATATGTGAACAATCCGATAGCCAATATTAGCGTCATATTATCACTTACCAATTTTTGATGTGATATTTGGAGTTTGAATGCATAGATTAACAGACAACATACAATGATATGCATTTCAGTTGGAGATGAACTCAGGCAATATAAAAGGTTGCTTAAGCGGCCGTTTGGTATCCTATTTTAGGCAGGATTTCAGCAAGATTTAGCTTAAATTACTGTAATTTTTTTGAGGAATTTAACTATTTCTGTTTTTAGAAATTCAGTTTCAGCCCCGTTTGAGTTAAATAGATGATTTTTTTTAATCCCATCTTTCACAGGATTTAAAAGATTTAAAGATTTGTCTCTCTCACAAATATTAAATCCTAAAATCATTAGAAAAAAAAATAGCATTTAATAATATTTAACAGTTGACATACCAAATAATTATCAGGTTTTAATCCTCTTAAGATTTATCAAATTTGGATTTATGTGAGTTAAGTCCTCCTATGCTGGCATATATCATTATATGAGATGCGATTTATAGTAATATAAATTATATTTTATAGTGAATACCGATGGTTTTTAATCTTGAAAATCATTTAATTGTTAGGAAATTTGCATACATATAATTTTATTTCATGCTATTTACATATATAATACTCAAAATTTTAACATTACTTGTCTACCACCTATATATAACTTTAATATTAAATATACAACTCCTATAATTCATTTCTACAATTCATATCATCTTATAGACTTTAATATTTCATTCATGCACCCAAATTTATTCTATAGGTGATAGTCATATAATATTAATGTTTTAGATGTTAGATATGTAAATAACATAAACTAAAGTGGTATGTATGAAGTAGAGAAATAAAAGAAGAACGCTATTGGTTAAATACAAGGCTAAATCCGTATTTAGATTTCCTTTCAAAATCATTTAGTAGAACAAGTAGTTGGAATAAAGATAGTTCATCTTGATCTGTTGGTGGGGAGCTTTGACTACCACTGAGAGGTCTTGGGTTTGAAACTTTTATATATAATGTGTTTGGGAGTTTGACTTAATTGGCTCAAAAGCCCCGCCAGCCAAAAATAAGTTGGAATAAGGCTGAAGATGATGTCTTTGATAGGAATGGCTTATTCTTGTCATTGAATCTATATGACTAGGTTGAACTTTGTGCTTTTTAATATAGATTTGATCATTTTTTGTTCTTATTAATTTATGTTTATTTAGTGATTATTAGTTTGTAGGTTTGTTCTTTATATTTCAGTTGTTCTAATATGGCTTCAGGACTTGCTGGATATCCTGGCCATCACTCTGGTTTTTTCTAGGCAACCTTAACGGTCCTTCAGCTCTTCTCCCTCTACTAGGTATGCTTTGCATCACCTAAAGTAATGGTATGTTTGGCGTTTATTGTATTTATATAATATTCTGAACGAGGATTTAAGCAATTATTAATTTTCAAGGATTTCTGGCTTGGTACAACAAGGTCTCTTATCGTCTAATCACTTGAATGCTCGGGGGCTGTTTGGTAGCACCCAAGATTTAATTTAATTAGGATATCATAAATCCGCTAAATTTAGATTTCAAAAATACCGAGGGGTCTAAATCCTGAAAATAGTTTTGTAATATTCATGATAAATCCTATTAAATCCCGTGTGACTGTTTGACTATAGAACGGATTTAACGAGCGGAGTCTTCCTCTCGAGCCAACGGATTTCGTAAATCCGGCAAAAAACCGGATTTCCGGAAATCCGGGTTTTAGCACGAAAAGGCGGAATTTTTCATCTACGAAGGCTTTCATTTGCCATGAGATTTGGTTTTGCATTTTAGGCCGTTTGGCTGGATTTCGCTCAAATCCGCCACAAATCCGGCCTAAATCCTGCTACCAAGCAACCCCTCAATATTTGTTGAAACTCTATCTCACATTGGCTATAGGTAGCAGGTGGTCCCTGAACCTTTTTTAGAGTAGAGCTTCCTAGGTTAGAATCATGTAATCATTATCAGATATGCAAACTAACAAAGAATGTAAATCTAACTAACATTCAAAGAATTTATATCTATAAAGAAAACTGATCAGTTTTTCCAAGTTCTATAGGTTTTCCAACAACAAAGATCTCCCCAAAAGAGTGGATCTCTGTCTGGAAGATGGTGTTTGGTCGCTGTGTTTGCTGTGGATGGCAAGGAGGGTGCTGTCCCCTGCTGCTGGAAGCTGTTGATCTCTATTCTGTCTCCAATCTCCACCCAAAATTAGGTGGATGTCGCTACCAGTTGGCCTTGGGTACCCTCAGGTGATTGGAAGATGGTTGAAGATGTGATCCAAGGTCATCTAAAGAGCACAAAACAAAAAACAACTGGTAGGGGCGTTTGTCTAACTTGATGTTTGCAAATAGTTCATGTTTGGCTCACTAAGTAACTCATGTGTTATGGTTCTTCCTGAACTGACCAAACCGGCCCAATCTGGGCCGATTTAGATTTATAGGAGGCAGGCTAAACCGCCTTCTTAGGAAGCCGCCCAAGCAATGTGGGCCCCCCTAGGGTGGCAAATAGGGAGAGGGAAGGGGGCGGCTAAAGCATAGGGAAGCTATTTTGAATTTGGTTTATTTTAGGAAGCTTTTTATTAGGAAGATATGCATTTAAAGAGGATGAGAGATTAGGAGTACGGCATGCTTGATTATTGTTTTCTCTTGGAGTTCTCTCTGGTGTCTTGGGCTCTAGACTCATTGTTTAGAAATTAGAAAATTACGATCCTTCTCTCGAATTGAGGATCAATTTTATCTTTACTTTGTGCTTGCTTTAATTTGATTTCTATAATACAATCTGTTGTTTTTGGATTGTTTTCATTGGAGATTTTGAAGTTTTCTCATTGTTTTCACTAATTATTATTAGGTTTGCTTGCAAACTCAAGTATTTCCCATTAAAGTTACTCACGAATTCAGTATTTCGTATCATCATGTTTGGCTCCATTAATTAATAGACTAAAAAAGAACACAATATTTAGGCTTGATTACTTGATGAATTGAATACAAACAAAATATTGTTCATCTGTGTTTGGTTTGTTAAAAGCCCGTTAAGATATATATCATTAATTATTAAAAAAAACATATATATTTTGGAGAAAGAATTCAAAATCTAGACTATAGTTTGGTGTTTGCATATCTATGATGTTATCTTTGTATGATGAGATCTTGGGTTTTATTCTTTCTTTTCTTTATACTTTATTCAAAATAATAAAAAACTCTCTTTTATTGATACGTTGACGGACTAGTCAAATAAAATCGAATAAAATCCAAACCAAGAAATATCAGGCATAATGAACACAGCCAAATGTGAAAAAAATGAAAAAAAAGCGATCAAATTCTAACAATTCTTCATTGGATTATGTATGTGTTAAACCGGTCTAGCCGGTCCGACATGACAGGCTTACGCGAACAGATGCGGACTTTTCCACCTCCTGAACGCGTCGAATGCACGCCCGGGCGTGCGTGAGTTGTTTAGGATGGTTTTTTGAGGGAGTTAGGAGGGAAATTTGAATTTATGAACCGTTTAGGGATTCCCTTTTGATTTGTATGCATTAAATAGTTTGTTTTCCTAGGGTTAGGACATCTTGAATTTGGCTGAAATTTGAGATCTCATAGGTTTTCTTTGGGCTTTAACGGCGTCTAGAAATTGGGAGAGATCGATCCTCCTCTCGAATAGAAGATCAATTTTATCTTGGTATTTTCTATTTCCCCTTCATCAAATAATACAAATTATGTACTGTTTTCATGGTTTTGTGTGAATTTTTGTGGAAAAATCTCGCTGTTTTCCGAAGATTGATAGGAAATACTTGAGATCTACAAGTGTTTCCTATCAGTATGGCTTATTTATACCTCTAGTGTTAAGAAGTGAGAGGAGCGCGTAAGAGAAAAGAGTTAGGGGGAGCAAGTAGATAGTACAATGTGGGATGTAAGGTGGTCATGAGAAGTGGTGCCTCTTGCCATGGAGCGCCTAATGGTTTACAACATTGATTTTTGCAAGTAACATTGTAATAACCTTCAGCTGGACCATATCAATTGAAATAAGCAATGCAATGCTTTTTAAACTTGCAGTTTTAAACCAATTGGAGTGATTTCTACCATCCAAATAATGCTTTAATAAATGGAGTAATGGAATTAAGTTTTGAATGTCTAAAGTTTTATGGCAAATCAATTTTGATTCTGTAACATGGGCAGAGAATGTGCTGCTGACTAGTTTATTTCTTAAGAAAATATTCCACCTTCATGGTTTTTTAATCATATCACAAAATGCTGAAGCATCATTAGCAGCTTTGTCCTGGTGAATTTTCTGAGGCTGACGCTACAGATTTGCTGTTATCACAGGAATTTGGGGAAGTTCCCCCTTTTTCAAGATTTTTTTTCTCTTATCCTTCTTTTAGAATGCTTATTCAACTCACTGAAATTAAAGAATAAGATATGCAGAGGCGGAACCATGTTCATGTTAGGGGGGGCAATTGCCCCCCCTAAAAATTTTTTTTTAGTTATAAGAGAGATGCATTTAAGAAATTTGCCCCCCCCCCCTCCATGTTTTAGTAATTCTTTCCTGTGCATATTTTATAATGCCTCACCTATGGGTGTCAATATTTGATCCGACCCGAATCCGACCCGAAAATTCTGGATTATGGTCAACCTATTTGAGAAACGGTCTGGTATGGGTTTTGGATTCTGACCCATTTGTAAAACTGGGCCCGATTTGGTTTGACCTAGAAACATAGCGCGTGACATTGTCTTGTCGGCGTCATCGCGTGTTGACCATGTCTGACATCTCGTCGACATCCAACCCGGCGTCGTCATGTGAGTGAGTGATAGTGTCTGACGTCAGCGTCATTGCGTGAGTGATCCCATGCCGCGCATAACGCAGCTTTCGATCGCACCGCCCGTGAACCACCCGCCA